AAAGACGAGGACGTGGTCGGGATGGGACCGTGAGGAAATAATTGGTGAAATACCCCCACAACTTTGAGACGCACTTGAATCTCATGAGTGATTTAGCAGGGAGTCTCCTAAGGATCTCATCCGTTACGAAATCCATTGGTAGAGAAAAAGGAATCTCCGATCGATTTTGAGGGGAAGAAGAAATAAGTCGATAGTTAGGGTTGTCAAAAATAATACTACTTTTTATAGTTAAGGAAAAATTTATGAAAATAACCCAAAAAAATGTTTAATTAAAAAGATAAATTAGAAGAAAAAAAAAACTTTTTGAAATAGACTAAAAGTTTACCTCTTCTTTAAATTAACAGAAAACAAACAAATAATCATCAAACATAAACAAACTATTATCTAAATACAAACCTTAAAATAACTTTTGAACCCTAATTACATACCAAACAAAAAAAAATTGTGCCTTTTTGGAAAAAAAAATTCACCCGAAAAATGGTTGAGCCTTAAGGCCGGCCCTGGTCTTTGGGAGTTAGATGTTTTTGGTTTTGGTTTTGTTTTTTTGGAGCATCTTGGCTTAAGCATTACTTTGTACTTTTGGTTCTTATCTCCATATGGAGATCTTCAAATACAAGTATTGAGATGTTTAAAAAAAAAAAAACTAAAGCATAGATATCAAATGTGTATTTTGGTTTAGCACAGTGAGTCCGGTTTTGTCTAGAAATCACTTATGAATATGCACTATATACAAATATGTTAAGCAACCTGTATTGTTATGCTTTATTAACATCATTCGTAGAATAATTATGTTAAGCTTAGCTGAGTTGTGTTTTTCTATAGAATTTGGTTCAACCAACAAACCAAGGGAAATAAAGAAGAAGAATCACCCTAATAGAAAAGCAAAAGAGCGTATGAAATTAAAATGATTATGACTCTGTTTTTTAGAGTTCTTGAAGTGATAAGTTACTCATCTTTATTCTTTTCTTTTGTTTTATGTTTATAGTGGCAACAAAGAAGAACAAGGTTGGAGAAGGTTCCACTTCAACTCCAAGCAATGATAACGAAAATGGTTCTAGACTTACATTTGGTTGCACTTTTGTATTGCTTAATTGGGTCTAAAGCTTTGTGTCTTTTATTTGTAGGTGAAAAAGACTCCAACTAGCCGAAGCTCGAAGCCCAAATCGTTCTCTGCTTTTGTACACAAAATGCACAAAATGCATGAAGCTTCTCTTGTTCTCGTTTCACTTGCTCTTCCGCCAATGCAAGTGACTTTTCGGTTGCAATCATCTCTTCATCGAGACGCCTTCCCAACTCCTTTAGGATCACCGACATAGGATGACCAGACATAGGATGAATCTTCTCTTGTTCTCGTGTGTGTATTTAAATCAAGAACACGACTTAATTATTATTTATTGGTTTTATAATTTGAAAGGCCTAATTGGTCCAAACAAGGAACTAGCCCTTTGGCAAATATATACTAGATACAAGCATGATGTTTCATAAGTTCCTGAAAAATCTAATCTTCAAAATCTACTGAAAAATGACAAGCATCAAAAATAAGAGCTAGATACCAAATGACACAATTTAAAAGTGTTGTTACCCTTAATTTAAATATGTTGAAGTAGTTACTTGTAAAACTTGGTTTTCTTGCAAATTGCTTCCTCAAATCTGAACCTTTACTTGTGAACAAAACCAATGTTTACTAATAGCCTATTTAATAATTTAAAAAGAAATGTGGGTTGTTACATTGTGTGTTGTTATAGCTTTAGTAGTGGTCAAGATCTTATTTGTAAGATTTGGCTTTCTTGC